ACAAGATATGATACGTGACATGAGATATATGAAAGATAAAGTATATGTCATATGAAATATTATATGACTATGTGATTATATGAAAAAGAATACAATTATATGTGATAAGCTTTATGATATGTGAATCATATGAAAATGTTCTACGCGTAAGTGAACCATGTGTTTATATATATATGCGATATGTAATTTATATGACAATGAGCTATGTGAAAGAACTATATGACTATGTGTATATGTGAATGTATGCTAACATAAATATTAATGCCCATGTTATGTGACATGAGAGCTAGGGGTATAGTTGGTATGCCAAGAGTCGAGGGTCTACGCGGTCCTTCGGGACATATATGTATTCTTTGGAACATGTGTGAGGTCTTTTGAGACACATACTTGATCCTTGGCATATGTATGTGATTCTTAAGGAATTTTCTACATGGTCCTTAGGGACAACCTTATATAGCACTTCAATGCATTTCTACGCTGCAGTACGGTGCAATTCTTCGTGGCACTTCAGTGCATTTATACGAGTTGTGGTGACAACATTAGTGCACAACCTCTATAGACTCAGAAATCTATAGTTCTCATATATGTACATTGGCTAATAAAGAGATAATTGTGAAAACAATGTATGTAATATATGTATATGATGTGTGATATGAATTGTATGACATGATATATGTGTGATATGGGTGATTGCATCTGTTACATGATATACATGAATATATGTTGATGTATATGTGAATGAGTATAAATGACTTATATGATGATATAAGAATTTGCTATAAGATATAGAATATGAACGTAAGAGATCATATGAACAAGAAATAAGAGATATGAAGTATAATAGTATAATAAAAATATAAATGATGACATGTATGTGCACAAGTATGTAATTGTTATATGTAAAAAGTATATGAGTTGTATGATTTGATAGCATAAAACAATCATGCATGATTAGTGGTTATGAATTTCATTAGATGTGTTTTTTTATGCCTCACTAAGTCATCGACTTAGCGTGTGAGTGTTTCTCACGCAGGTTACAAAAAGTGAATATAGAAGCTGAGAGGAGTAAGATAGGTCATCATATTTCTTACAAAGTTCAGATCAGAAAAGAAATGTTTAATATGTATTTTATTCTTTTAGATGTAGTTGGCATGTCATATAAACGATTTGAATTGTATATTATTGAGTTAATCGAATGATGGAATCGACCAAGAGGGGGGTGAATTGGCAATTAAAATTTTGGTTGAAGCTTTTGCAGAAAATTGAAAGTAATTTCACAACGATTTAGAGTCGTTCGACTTTCTCAACCAAAGTCTACGTCCACTACCTTAGCTATCCACACTAAGGATTTTCCAATAAATTCACTAATTTGTTCTTTCTTTTGAGGCCAAAGAGATAATCTTACAACTCCCTCAAGAATATACCCCAATTCTTGAGAACACTCTTTCTCAAAGAGAAGATTACAAATTTGCAAACTTAATGAAAAACCTCACAAGGTAAATGTGTTTGCACAATTCTAGAACAAGGAAAAGAACACTCAAGAATAAATACAATTGAGTACAAGTAATGTTCTTGAAAGCAAAATGAATATTGAATGAAAAATAGGCTTGAAGTGCTCAAACTTGAGTAATAATTTGATATTCAATTAATTGAATCGAATATACTTCTAAAAATCTTTGTAAAATCTTAAATTTCATATATACTTAGTTTGTTATATCGAAACATCAAAATATTTTCAACATATATGCTCTGATAAGTGTGAAAACTTTTATTTTGAAATAATAGTAAGTTTTCAATAACGGGGATTTTTCATTATTTTGAACAAGTAAAGGTTTAAAAGTTGATGTGACACCTCAGACTTGGATCTGGGTTGGATATGAGTTGGGGGTGTTACAGATTCTGCCCATTTCTCTTTTTCATCATACAAATCTTAAATCCATTTCCTTCATTCAAAGTTATGTTTTTTGACTAATTATTTCCATGTTGCTTCAAAATCAGATTTAGTCCTACACTTATCGGTGCATCTAAAAAAACTGTCGAGAAAACTATGATCAGCATAAGACTGCATATTCCTCATTATATGCCATAAAAACAATCTATGTTTTGCCCCGGGTAGTACTCCAGAAATGACATTTGTCATGGCCTTATCTCTATCAGTAATAACAGAATAGTAAGAGGTTTGTGGCCATCTCCTGCTTCAATCAACCGTTGTAAAACCCATACATATGAGTCATCTTTCTCATCCACAAGCAATACACATCCAAATGGCACTGTGTTTCGATGATGATTAACACCAACTAAAACAACAAATGGCTTGTTGTATGTGTTGCACTTGTAAGTCGTATCAAACGCAAGAACATGCCCAAATTCTTTATAGTCTGCGCGTGATACACCATCGGCCCAGAATAACTTCTCTAAGTTTTCAAATTCATCCTTCGTGTGCCTAACAAAAAAAGACCAAATTCTTGATTTCCATATAAATAAGCCATCATCGTTTCTGTGTCACTATCTTGCACTTTCTCTCGTTTAATTCTATGTAGATAGTTGTATAAATCCTTCTATAGAAATCCAACATTCTCAACTGAACCATCTTTATTCACAAAATTCCGCATCATTTTACATGCTCAAATCCCAGAGTTAAGCATGCTCTTAATCTTAATTCGGTCTAACCCACTAATTTTTCAGAATGAACTACAAAATAAGGCATTGAATAACATTAAATATATAAGATATAAGTTAGTATGTAACAAATTAACTTTTGGATGAATTACATTCTGGATGTAAGCAATATGTGTTGGCTGAACTATTTCATGGTTATGTTCAGCGTGGAATTTTGCAACTTTCCAATATTGAAAATGTTCATCCAATTTGAATCTAATAAATGCTTCACACCCAGCTCAGATGTTCCGTTTTTGGACACATTTTCTGTTTCGAAGGTTATTTCACCTATCATCTCTATATCCCTCCTTATGGCACACCATTTTATTTGTAATTATGTGACCACCATTTTGACTTTTCACTGTTTGGTCAACTCGAACTCCAAAGTCTTTCACATTTGTATAGGTATGATAAAATTCAACGCAATCATCTAAAGTCTTCCACTTCAACAAATTCATATCGTTCTTATGGTAATGTTTTAATTCCTTTCCAATCTTATCCCATATTCGTTCATCAATGAATTTTTCAATTGTTTTCTCATCATCTACATGATTGTCATCATCAAATGGATTATCAGTTTCTTCTTATTCAGTATGAGTTTCAAAATTTGATTCACTATTGTTCCTGATTATGGCCATCTTCATCCTGATAAACTCCGTCCAACTCTGTAATTTGATTTTTTTAAATTTTTATCAACCATCTTGAAAAAATCTAAATTTGCGCAAGAAAGATCAAAACCAACATTATTACAATGTTTAATGACATCAAACTTGCATTCTAAAGAGTTGAATCGCGTGAATCGTGCATACCATACCGATACACAACCTGAGTCAGTACACGACGTTTCATTTAAAAAAAACAGCTCGCAATTAAGGTACCAATACACACAAGGTATCGATACTTTGTCGCCCGAGTACCGGTATACATTATCGGTGTACCGGTATGCCCTACACGAATTGCAAATTGGGAATTAGAAATTGGATTGAAATAAATCGGTTTCAACGAGAAAATTAAGAATCAATTGTTCAAATTGAGGTTCTACAAAGGGAACTTTGGAAATCAATTAAGGAATTCGAGTTATACAATTGGAGGAATTTTAAAATTAAGGTTAGGGTTAGGGTTTAGAAAATATGGGATTAGGGAAAAATAATTAGAGTGGAAGTCTCAAGCCGACAACCACGACCATTGTCGGTGAAGACACGAACAGTCGGTCAACCACCACTCTCCGGTGACGATTTGGACGAAAACATAATTTGAATCAAAATAAAAGTAATTTGGCTTACCTTAACAGGTTGTTTGCGCAAACAACGATGACAGTAACGATTTAATCGAAGGAGAAAAACGAAACCGACGGCGATGGCGATGGTGATGAGAGAATCAAAGCTTATTTTAAAAAATAGGATTTTCTAAATTGGGGTTATTATTTGAACTAGTTATAAAATATATTAAAAAATAAATTAAAATTATGATTTATTTAAAATTACGATTACATTTTTAACTAAAATATAATTATACGTTAAATACCTTATATTTTTAGCGTTTTACAATTTAATTTATTGATGCTCATTGTTATTGGCGCTCGTCGCCTCTCGTCGAACGCACAAGAATCATCCAATAAATTAACATTGTTTATAAAATTAAATATAAAACATTAACCAATATTAAAGACAATAAAAATACAAAGAACCCCGTTTCAAAAGTCAAAATTTGAATGTAAAACGTGGATGAGTTAAAAGTTGACAGTAAAAAAAATATCTTTAAAAAGATTATCCTAAAAATTTGGTCGGTTAGTCCATTAAATAATGAAGAATACCCCATAGATCTAAAAGTTTTGTTATCTTAATGTATTTTGTGGGTCATAACCAACTTAACTAGAAACTTAAAAAAAAAAAAAAAAAAAAAAAGGAGAAACAAAATGAAACGGTTTTGTTGGACCGTTGATCCAAACAACTGTCAAGCAAAGTCACCGACCCCTAAATACCAGCAGACACCAGTAGATTTAGTGGACCCTACGATGACGTTTTGCCACTCGAATTAAACTATGTATGAATAACTGAGAGTCTAACAAAAGAAACTACCTGACACCCAATGGATTACGTGGCGATATCACAACGAACCAGCTATGTTTGGTGGTGTCGGTTAGTTGGAGTTAGTTAAGCCGAGTAAATAGGGAATTTGAATGCACCCTCATTTTGATACATGATGGAGAGTATGGTTTGATTTTGTTCAGCAACAATAAATTAGATTAAATATAACAGATGAATTATTAGATATTTTAAATAAATATTATAATTTAGTTTTTGAAGTAACTACGCTGCATCAACAGGTGGTCTTTGAATATTCTGTTCAGGAATTTCAGTTTCCAAAATGAATAATTTTCTTACTTTTCTGTACAGTTTGTGGAGTATTCCAAGATGATATACTTGGACGGGGATATCCAAGTGTTCGAAAACATAGACCACTTGTTCGACATGGAAGATGGTTACTTTTATGCTGTGATGGATTGCTTCTGTGAGAAAACATGGAGCCACACCCCACAGTACAAGATTGGCTACTGCCAACAGTGCCCTGATAAGGTCCAATGGCCTTCTCAGCTGGGACCTAAGCCTCCTCTTTACTTCAACGCAGGCATGTTTGTGTATGAGCCCAGCCTTTCCGTATATGAAGACCTGTTGAACACCCTCGAAGTTACTGCTCCTACCCCATTTGCGGAGCAGGATTATCTGAACGTGTTCTTCAGGGACATCTACAGGCCCATTCCTCCAATATACAACCTGGTGATGGCCATGCTATGGCGCCACCCTGAGAACATAGAGCTCGAAAAGGCCAAGGTTGTTCACTACTGTGCTGCTGGCTCCAAACCCTGGAGGTATACGGACAAAGAAGAGAACATGGACAGGGAAGACATTAAGATGCTGGTGGGGAAATGGTGGGATATTTACCATGATGAGTGGCTTGACTTCAAAAATGCTGTGGCCACTGGCGAAGCAGAAGCTGATGAGGATCAACTGCAACAATTTTTCGTAGTATTTCCGGAGGCCGGAATTGTTCAGCATTTAAAAGCCCCATCCGCTGCTTAGTATTTGAGGCTTTAATTTGGTGAATGATATAGATTATTAATACTATATACAAGACATCTTAGCTGTGTAGGGAATGTAAATGTGTTATTTTCTTCTTTCTAGTTGTATTTGATCTGTCCTTATATTTATTAGAAGGGACAGAGATATTTTCTCAGGAAAACATAAGGAACTATTATGCATAAGCTGTCCGTACGGATTCTTTGTTTCGTCTGACTATTTGTAGATTTCTTTGTGAACTTTTGAATTATATATTTATACAAAAATGAATATTTTCTGTGTTTTTTTTTAATTATTGTGAACTCAAAAGGATTTGGTAACTAATATCAGAAGTTGCAGTTCCAGATCGTAATAAACAAGGTTGATGAACGTTGAATATGTTGCAAGTATATGAAACCCTAATATGAAGAGAAAGTAGGATTGGATCCAAACTTCTACTTTGCAGAGGTTGGAAATCATTTAACTTTCGATAAATTACCATATCTATCTGGCTTTGTTCGGCATCAAACAAACACTTCTGTTCAAAATGAGAAGAAAGGTTAATTAGGACAAGTAACTACAGTTTTTAGGGCATTTACTTTAGTTGTATTCTTTCTTTCCATCTTTTTTGCATGGGTATAGTATATGGATAAAGAACAAACCCATCAAGGGCTAAAAGCCATAGCATAGAACAGATGAGAAGTAGGGAAGGAACGAGGCGGTTTCGGGCCGGGGATTGGTTCTCCGTCTCAGTTTAAAAAATCCGTACATGTCCCCGCTTAAAAAATCACGGAGATTTAAACGGGATCTCCATCGGATAATCGAAGAAAATCGTAGGGAAACAGATATCCCCGTTTACCTTAGATGGTTATTTTTCACCGCGGGAATCTCCTTTGCCATTTAAATTTCACACGATAACATGAGTTATTTAAAAAATAATATCTTTATCGGATCTAAACTTACTTAAAACGCCAAACACCACCAAATACATCCAAAATATAAAAACAAAACAATTCAAATAGACAAAACAATCCAAAATATTTATTGGGCCGGGTATTCGGGGCGTAAATTACCAAACCCATCCCTATTTTCATTTAAAAAATTCAATTTTTCCCCATCCCGTTTATCATCCTGACCCGTTTAATTCAATTTTTGATTTCCCCGAGTTTAATTTTTTTTGCCATCCCTAAAGAGAAGACGATCCTACTACTTAAAGAAGCGATTCTTTAAACTTAGAGATGAAGCAGATGAATTTATATTTAACTTGCACTGATACGCATTATATGTTTCAAAACTGCACTCTTCCCATCCTCTCAAGCCAGAGCAGCCAGCTCAATTGGAGATTTCTGAGTAAAATAATAAACAGCAATAAGCATATTTGCGATCGGACTCGGAAAATTCAAAACATATTACCATGAAATGTCAACAACGAATTCGTTAAACACTGAGAACAAAGAATTCCATCTACAAAGCAGACGGGCAGTCAAACTGCCCATATCTAACACAACCTCGTACATTTCATGTAAAGGTAACAAGCCAAAGGAAACCCCAATACCAGAACATATCATTATAAAAATAAAATATACATATCAAAATTCAACTTCAGCAAAGATTGCTGCCCCAGATGTAAATGTCACTGATCATTGACCGGCCCTCTCAAGCCTAGTAAAAACACAATGAACGAAATCAATAATTAGAACATAATAATATCTACAACGGGCTCACACATCAGTCTGAACCTACCTTGCTAGCTATGTTGTTGGATAGCCAGTCAAGCCCCTCATACAACCCTTCGCCAGAGGTAGCACATGTACTCTGGATATACCTGCGACTCCCAATAAAGAAACGATCACATTCTATATAGAAAAACAAGTTCTTTATAACAAAACAGACTGAAAAGGAAATAAAAGAGCAGGGAATAAGTTGAATATCAAATACCAGTGGCGCTGACGGAGGGAATGAAGACCAAGTTTATCAGTGATCTCAGCAGCATTCATAGCATTTGGTAGATCTTGCTTGTTTGCAAATACAAGCAGCACAGCATCCCTCAGTTCATCCTACACATATTAGAAGCAACAATATGATCTAAGTAGTCATTAAACATGCATAAAAAGTTAGTGTAGACCAAAGCCTCAAAATTTTTCTCATCACTTATCTAGTTACACATGTTTGGAAACGACTGCCATTACTACCGTAGTCATGTTTGGCAGTAAAAATTGTAACTACACAGGTATGTAAGTTTAAATTTTAAAATAATATTAATTATAAAATTTGAAACCCTCAAATTACGATAGTTGTCAACTATATAATTACAACAAAATCTAATTATTGGGTTGACTTTCCAAACACACCCTTAATGAAAATTTCAACTCAATAGAGAGAATAAAACCAATAAAGAGCAAAGAAGTAAAATGGCACCTCATTTAGCATACGGTGAAGCTCATCCCTGGCTTCGACCACACGATCACGATCATTGCTATCAACGACAAAGATTAGCCCCTGGGTATTTTGGAAGTAGTGCCTCCACAAAGGTCGGATCTGAAAGTAGCCATAAAAGCAACCAGAAATTAGCATGACATCAAACTCCAGACATTTCACTCTTAATTTGAAGAATGGGTAAACATATCTACCACAGAAAAGCAACCAACAATTCTCAGAAAAGAAGAACACTCAAACTCATATTGAATATAAAATTGAAGCAAAAGACAAATTAACTTGGCATTCGTCACAATTTGCACAGTTCAGAAAATCAGCAACAGGGTCAATACCAGGTAATAAAAAAAAGAAAGCATTTTCATTAACATTTTTTTAGTGCTAAACAAGTTTGAATGAATAAAGATAATAATATATATAAACATTGTTTTATATATGCCATGATGCAGATAGTCTTCCTCTTATAGCCAGTGGAAAATCTTGAAAGACAAGATGGCACAGGTACATATAGCTTATGATAATGTTTTGTGCTAATGGGAAACATCTAGCTAGCACAAGACCGTTAATAAGCACTCAAATTCATCATCTGCAATTATAAAGCACCAACTAAAGTAAACAACGTGTTTATGAAAAAATAATCAAAGCTTTGTATGAACATGCTCAATAAATCAAGATATCACAAATAAAGGAAAGAAGCAAAATAATGTGTCAACCACAACATGGAAAGCCTCTCCTCGTACCACCAAATAAAAAACTAGAAAGAAAAATGTGACTAGTAGATGTAGCCAGCAGTTGAGACATCAACATGGTTGTACAATTGAATAACATGGCAAAATATCATGTTCCATCAAGCAGTAAGACCCAGGAAACAATAAATAGTAAAATGCCAATTAATTGTAGTTGAATCTGCAAAATCTGCAATATTTTTTGAGTTTTTGTTGTATTACCTTGTCCTGACCACCAACATCCCAAACAGTGAAGCTAATGTTCTTATATTCAACAGTCTCCACATTAAACCCTGGGTGAAATAGCAATAAGCATCAATATCTAAAAACTAATGAAAACAAAATACTTTCAGAAAATTTAACAATGAGAGCATACCAATTGTGGGAATGGTGGTGACGATCTCTCCGAGCTTCAGCTTGTACAATATGGTGGTCTTACCAGCAGCATCAAGACCCACCATAAGAATTCTCATCTCTTTCTTGGCAAACAGGCGACTGAACAACTTAGCAAAAGAAAGCCCCATTCTTCTAATTCTAGCTGAAGGATAAAAAAAATAACATAGAAGGTCCTCCCCAGCTTATACATCAATTAATAAAATGGAAAAAGGAACAAAAAGAAAACCATTAGATATATAATTGGTAAAATATAATATAAGCCATCCCGCATTTATATAAGACAGGTGTATGCCATTGCCCTATATCGAATCAACAGATAACATTAGGAACAATTTATTTAAAGAGGTAAGAACATATTAAACACAGGATACGAATAAGCTAGAACACCAGAACATGCTAAACGAAATGGGGGGAAAATAACGCTGATTAAACAAAACAAGTAGATTCAATATTAAATCTAATGCTAGTAGCATACTGTATTTCACATAAATTAAGATCCGAGAGGACATATAAGCAGATCTAATAAAAAACCCCGATCCAGATCTGGATCTGGGATAAAATAGCAAAAGACCCATCAGCAGAAATCAACGCGAAAAGGACTATTATTAATAGATACACACAAATCTAAACAAAAAAGCAAATAAGACGATAACAGATAAACGAGAGAGTGGAGATAAATTGTAAATAAGATGCAGAAGCAAAAGGAGAGAGATTTGCACAGTACATGGCAGGATATTGAGAGAGCCGAGGCCGAGAAGGTGCCCAAAAAGAGAATTGGAAAACGACAAAATGTAGAGACCTGCAATCAAATGAACGGAGATGATTACATCGAACAACGGGATTTGATTTATTAGGAAGATTTCAGATGAGGGCCAGAGGAGGCTTGGGCTTAAAAATACTAGACCCATCATTTCATTTGCCTAAAACCAAACAAGGACTAATCATTGGATAATATGGGACATAAGCAAGATAGTCGTGAATAAGGATGGACATGCATCATGTTATGCGAGTTGATATAATAATTCTTTATAGTATTTGAATATATTTTTTAATTATGAATAATATATATATATATATGACTAATACAATTATTTGAACTTAAAATTTGTAGATAGAATAATATTCTATTTTTATTAAGATTACTCAATAAATCTATCTTACTCATAATATCAAAATAGATATAAATTATAAAACAAAAAAATGGCATTTTCTCAATTAGGAAAGATGTATATATTACCTGGTGCCTTTCGGAAGATGTCAGAAAATATGACGTCTTTATGAGTTGGTCCACTCTTAAGGTTGACGTTTACACTAAATGGCACATGCAGCTTAAAGAAGATGTCAAGTGATCCAAGTAAGGCCGTAAGTGAGACGAGATAGATCGTGAGTTACTCGAGATGAGGTAGATCGTGAGCTACTCGAGACGAGACAGATCGTGAGCTACTCGAGATCGACTCGGTCAAAGCTCGATAAATACTTGGATCGAATAGACTCGACTCGAACTCGAGCTCGACTCGAATTCTTAACGAGCCGAAACGAGCTATTTGATACTCGACTCGAAAAGTTCGCGAGCAGCTCGAAAATATAATATATTAAGATTTTATTTAAAAAATAAATTATTAATAGTAGTAACATTTATGTGTTGATTTTTTAAAAAAAAAATACAATAAGGCTTTCATGTATTTA